CGCTATGAGTCGGAAACGACTTGACGGCACATAACAACAACAACAAAACACTTTCATTTTTTTTAAGAAAATTTGTTCTGCTATTCTTACGTATATATGTGCATAAAATTAAAGAAATATCCTTTAAAGCATAGAAATGACTGTTAAAGGAATAGCCATTTTCCAAATACTCACAAATCCAAAAAGCAGGTATAAATTAAGGGGATGCTTATGTCTGTTCAGTGTCAATGCGCAAATCATACCCAAAGATCCAAGGGCAAACACCAAAATGAGAGCAGGACTGAAAGACAAAATAGTAAATGTATTTTCAAGTTTAAAATTACACAAACAAACTATTCTACTAAAACATTTTTGGGTGTGTGTCTGTGAAAATACAGGGGGGAAAAGTCTTAAACTGTAAAATTTTTTTTTATCTGGAAAATTGGAGCGGGAATCAGGACAAAGAAATCTGCAGTGAAAAAGGTGGAATTATTTTCCTTCAATTAGCATACACTAAACTATAATAAATAAATTTAAGAAAATATGAAGTACTAAAAATTTTGTACTTAATTTGTTTTTTTAGGTTATTTACCAAAGAGCTGTTATTTAAAGAATTTATCCTGAATAATAATAGTTTAATACTTTTGGAGGGGTAGTAGGAAGGATAGAAAATTCTGTGTTTAAGAAAATAGTCAGTCTTCATTTTTCCTTTCTTTTAATATAAAAAACATATCATTTTTAGTCATAATAATTTTGGAAGTCATATCTGAAATTATTTGGGAATGAATCAAGTGTAGCTCTTTTGAAAAGTTCTCCATGAAATTATCCTACTCATAAGCTAAAATAAAAATAAATTTACTTAATTCATTCAAAAAAAATAGAAACTTTCCAAATACTGTCTTAAATGTTGGGGATACAAGGATGAATAAGGTAACAGGGAATATAGTAAAAATGTAAAGTTCAAACTTATAACTATTGTAAAAATTCTTAACACTACCTGAAGAGGCAAAGGTTTAAGCCTAAAATAATGCAAGATTAAAAAGAAAAAAGCAGGATATCAAGTTGTAGGGCATTTTCCTTACAAAAACAAATCTTACAAGCATTAGCAAATTACTTTTTTTATACTTCTATGCCAAAAATTAAAAATAAAAATATCAGAAAACAATTGAAAATCAACTTATTAACTTACCTCTCATGCACAAATGTCCGTATAGACTGAAAGTATAAAAACACGGAACATGTCACTGTAGTCAAGAGAACTTGCAGAGAAAAGATGCTATAAACCTTTCTTAGAAAAGCTGAAAGAGAAAAAAAAAGATTACATGATGCTTATCTTAACCATCAATCATACTTCTAAGATAAAATTTCTCTTAAGAAACCTTTTTTAAAAACAATACAGTATACATCCTGCATTCTTTAAGCAAAAGTAGAAATAAAAGGAGCTTCTAAATGATTCCAAAATTATAATATCTAATCCTCAAAAATGCATGAACTTTAAAAAGTTGATATTAAGTCATGGGCTGGAATATAAATTGTTCATCAAAATCAGAAGAAAATATGAAATGTATTATTTGTACACAGCTACATAACAAAATAAGTTTAAAAAACAAGACATCTTAAAAGTCTGTCTTGAAACCAAAAAGGAGTAATAGACAACATATGATTACATAGTGTTTTAATCTTCATTTCTACAGCAGTAAAAGTCTTGACTATAAAATGAAATTTATCCCCAAAAGGTATGTATATGAAATTACATTCACCATTCACCTACTTTCATTCCTTATGTTTACTACTACTACACTTATTTTCTATAAAAAAGGAAATTCTGACCTTTCAGTATATTTTAGTATCCATCTAAATAAATGAATGTCAGTTAAAAAAAAATACTAGAAAGGTCGTCTGATACAGAGGTGGTATAAACACAATACCATGAATACTCACGAACCTACCACTCACCTTCAGAAATAAACTACTAAGAGCAGCTCCTGCCTACTTTTTATATACGCAACTAATAAAATCCCTCTCCTCATCCCCTGGTAAACTAAATCTTTAGAGTTATTCTTCACAATGAGTTTTTGTTAATGATGGTAAAATAATTTGGAAAAGGATATTGAAAATGGTACACTTTGAAGAACATAACCGATGTCATGGAATTATACATGTAGAAGGTGTTGACTCTGTATATATGTTTTGCTGTATCTATTTCAACAACAACACTCAGCTCTAAATTTGAATTATATTCCTCCTTCATGTTCCCATGGGACCCTAACCATACTTCTAGTCACTTTATTTTTATCTTATGTCTATTTGTCCTTCCTACCTATTAAACTATAAAGATTGAAAACTCTCTTATAATGCAAACATGTCTAACTCATATCCATACTCCTTATCACTTCTCAGTTGCTAAAGAAAATATTGGCAGTCAAACTCATACACCCAAGCAACATGTTCCCATACAGATCAAAGCCTAGAAAACCTTAGTGGCATTTCTATTCTGCCTTACTGTGTTAATGTAACTCGGAAACACACTCAATGACAACTACAGCACCTACCATATTATATAAAACAGAAAGTCCCACTGCCATCAAGTCAATTCCACTTCATAACAAAATACTAAATTTTCTTTTAAAATAAATTTATACTGAATTTTGCTAGACTTGGAGAAGACAAATATTATTCTGATGAAGGATAATGAAGCCACACAACCTACTTAGGACATTGTGCTAAGGCAAAAACCCTTGTGGAATGTGATTTACAACCTTCAAAAAAGTACTAGTGGGTCAGCTATGAGTGGGTAGTGGCTCAAGGTCAATGAGGGAGGTTTTCCTCCCACTTTCAGGAAGCGGCACTTTCCCAGCAGCTGTTGAATGTTTTCTAACCTCTGGGCCTCATCAGTTGCTACTGTATTGAACCATGTCCTGCAGCCAGCAATATATTTTCAGAAGTGTATGAAAAGTCCTGCTTCCTACCTAGTCTGGAAGATCCACTAAAATCTGTCCATCATGAGTAACCCTGGAGTGGCATCCACTGCCTAAACAACATGCCTCTGGAAACTATGAACTTCGATAAACGATAATAGTTTTAGAAAAGATTCAGGCCTTTATTTATAGGGCGCTATGAGTCCTGCCTGACTCGATGGCAATCAATAGATAGATAGATAAATCTACCCTTTAATATTTGTTGCTAAGTAATACTAAGTTGGAACTGACCTATGGTTGAGCCTCCAGCAGGTTTTCAGAGGAAGGAAACTGCACAAGAGGAGACTGCCTATCTTTCTCCCAAGCAGTGGCTGGTAGATTCAAATCACATGCCTTTGGGTTGGCAATGCAGCTCCTTACCACTTGTTTGACGCTGAGTCAGAACTGACCCAGAGCTGACCCTCCAGTGGGTTCTCAGAGGCAATGAATAGCATGGGAGGGTACTGGCCATCCTTCCCCCATAGACAACCTGGCGGATTCAAATCTCATGCCCGTAGGATTGCCACGTAGCTTACCACTAGGCCACTAGCTATTATGTTGGGAGTAGGGGGGAAAGGGAGGCAAGGCTTTTGATGCTCTGTCTGACATACTTTGGCCATGTTGCAAGGGGAACGACTAGTCCTTGGTGAGGGACGACACGCTTGGGAGGATGAAGGGACAGCTGTAGAGAAGACCGTCAATGAGATGGATAGATTCAGTGCCTGGGGTAAAGGGGGTAGTAGGTGTGTCTGAGAAAGTGACGTGGCTCAGGTTAGAGCAAAGTTCAAAGCTGTTGTACCTAAAGCCACTAGGAATGGAAAGCGACTCAACAGGGTAGAGTCTCAACAACAGGTATAATGACTGAGGAAGCTTCTGTGTCCAGCAACTACCTCAAAAAGAATACATAAACCAAAGTTTCTTAGAAGCTCTGGTGGCTTATGCTGCCAACCCAAATGTATGAGGTTTGAATCCATTGGCAGCTCTACTGGAGGGGAAAAAATGCAGTCTCCTCAAAGGCTATTTATTTACTGTGAAAACATATGGAAACTATTAAAACCGTAACGTCTTTCAGTTCCAAGCTACAAAGACCGTAGCCACTTATTTTTACAACGCAAAAAAAAAACAAACAAAAAAAAAAACAAAACACAAACCTACAACAAAAAAACCCCTTGATTCTTTTTTTTAAAAGAAAGCCAAATTAAAAGGGCTCTGGTGGTTTAGTAGTAAGGAAATGCACTGCCAACACGAAGATACACAGTTTGAATCCACCAGCTGCCCCCCGGGAGAAAAACGCGCACTCTCCTCCCCTGAAACCCCAGTGGAAGGTCAGCCGTGGGTCAGTTCCGACTCGAGGGTACACAACAACTCCCTGCAAAAGCACAACAAGCTCCGGGTTGGGCTTCCCACCCTCGGGCGGGACGGTTAGGCTGCCTCCCGCTCCGCGGCCTCCCGCTCTGAGCCGCTCGGGCGGGGGAAGAGGAAGGAAGAGGAGGCGCTCTCTCGGAGCCCCGGGAAATGGGCAGGGCGCTCGGGGCGCTCTCCCCGCGATGCCTGCGAGGCGGGCCCCCCGGAAACCCGCCTCCAGAGGCCCACGACGCGGGGGGGACGGACGCGGGGCTGCCGGCCCAGAGGATGACTTCGTACCCATTCGGATGTGCACGCTGGCCGAGGCCACGCAGCTGCCATAGTTGAAGTCATCCTCGATCGACGAGGATGGGTAGAGAGGGTCTGAGCTGGCCATGGCGGCGAGGGAACCCCGAGCTACCCCGGTGAAGAGGACACGACACCTATCACAACGGACATCCACTCAGTTCCGGGATCCGGTCGTCCAGCCCCAACTAGTCGCTGCGGAGGATCGAGCGAGCCCGAGCGAATGGATGAGCGGGCCGCTAAAATGCAACGCCTGAGAAAGGGTTGCTTTGCATTAGGGTGGAAGGGAACTGGGACTCTATAGCCAGCATTATTTTAGTTGAGACTTTTTTCAGATTTTCATTCACAAGTTTTTACAAATCTTCCCACTTGGAGATTTGATAAAAGTAGAATTGTTAAAGTCGTTATTGTGTGCCATCGAGTTCCGATGTGCCATTGACTAAAACAAAACAAAACAAACCACAACAAAACCTTCTCATTTTTTTAGTTTCTTCCAATCTGGAGGACTCTACTTCCAGTGTTACATCTAACAATGTCTCCCCATTATTTATAGGGTTTTAGAAGACTTGTTATTATAGAAGTAGATGGCCTATCCTGGTTCTTAGTGTTAATCTAGAAGGACAGTTCAAGAAGGCAAAGCAAAATACTACAATGAAATGTGCAATGAGCTGGATTTCAAAACTACAAGGAAAGAATTCGCTCAGCATTTCTCAAGCTGAAAGAACTGAAAAATAAATTCAAACCTCAGAAAAAGAAATTCATACAAAGTCACTGTACCAAAAAGAATTATTTGACAATGAAACATTTAAGGAAGTAGCATATGATCAAGACTCAATGGTAAGGAAGATGTCCAAACTACACTAAAGGCATTGCAAAAAAATATAAGGCTCCAGGAATTGATAGAATATTAGTTTACATGTTTCAACAAACAGATGAAGCACTGAATGTGCTCACCAGTCTATACCAGGAAATTTGGAAGACAGCTACCTGACCAACTGAATGCAACAGATCTGTATTTGATACCATTCCAAAAACCAATGATCCAATAGAATGTGGGAATTACTGAACAATAATTCATACCACATGCAAGTAAAATCTTGCTGATAATTACTCAAAATGGCTAGAACAGTACAATGACAGAGAATTGCCAGAAATTCAAGCTGGATTCAGAAGAGGCTGTGAATGAGGTATGTTATTATTAAGTGCCGTCAAGTCGTAGACAACTCATAGCGACCCTGTGAACAAAAGACCTGAACACCTGCATAACTTTCATCGTTTCTCCATGTTCATAGAGTTTCCGGAAGCAAGTATTTAGGAAGTGGATGCCACTTCTGCTTCCAAGAGAAATGAGGTATAGCATTGTTGTTTGTTGTTGTTATGTGCCATCGAGTCGCTTGCGACTCATAGTGACCCTATGTACAACAGCCTTAAACTCCGCTCTGTCCTGTGCCAATTGCACTGTCTCTGACACTCCCATCCCA